AGCCGAGCGCCGAGGAGTCGATGCGGACTATCCCCGCCCCCCACGTGCAGCAGCAGCAGCCCGGGCCGTGGCGTGCGGAGCAGCCGCACTGCCCTGCAGCCGTGCGAGCAATGGCACCGGCCACCGTCCTCGGCAGATTGACCAATAGCTAAAATGCAAAGGCAGCATAACAAATACAAATATCTACAACTTCAGTCAAGTTGATACAGTTGAATTAAACTCTTGGTCCCGAAATGATACCTTGCATTGGACAACCACCAAAAATAAATAAATAAATAATAATAATAATAAAATAGATCCTTTTCTGCAAGCTTTCTGGGGAAAGTATAACTGGTCCAAAGCTCCCGTGGGTAGGAAATAAACCCGGTTGTATTTGAGGCAGGTGGCCTGTGCAGCAGATGCAAAACCCAAGCATCTATCTTCAAGGAGTCTTCACCCATATTGGGGGTTTTTTTTCTTTTTAAGGAAAATGTTTCGTGCTCCAAGCCAAATCGGTCGCACATCCGAGAGTCATACGTGGCCCTGCTACCAGCAAGCATCCTCCACCCCAATTTGAGGCTTCAAATGTTTCCAAATCATGTGCCAGGCGTCCCGCGTGCAGGCCCAAGCCCGGAGGCTCAGGGTTCGGATGCCCCGGGGTTTCGCTCACCCTAAGCTGCTGCCAGCACTTTCTTATGAGCTTGCCTCAAAAAAGAAATGCTTCCTTTGCCCCGGTTCTCACTCGCTCCCTGGCATCTTACAGCCAGCAGTATAAAATAAATAAGAAGCCTTACTTATTCGCGTATTTTTTTCAGCGTACAATAGTTTTTCAGTAAATATAGTTTTGACCTTCCAATATAATGCTTTCGTATTTAAGACCTGGCAACGCTGCTGCCCAGCCTCAAGCCAGGGTCAGTGGCACCTCTTTGGTGCCTGTGGTTGCAAAAGTGCTGGAAAGCACTGCCAGGTTGCCCTGGGGTCCCCCAACACTGCCAGGGGGGCAGGTGTATGATCCTCAGCCACCCTCCGGCCCCAGCGGGCTGCACACACCCAGCCCTGCCGGCAGGGCAAGGGGCGGCCTGGATGCAGTCACGGCCTGGGGTGGCTCCTCCTGCTCCTGCTCAGGGCAGCTTCCTCCCAGGGCCGTGGGAGCAAAGCCCTTGCCAGCAAATGCCCCAGCCCAGCCCATCACAAGTCAGGCCTGTTTGCTGTGCCTTAGCAGACAGAGGGCCCAAGCCCACCAGACACCATAAGCCTGCGTGAGGGGGACGCTGCAGGCTCCACATCTTGTGTCTTGTTGCAAAAGAGGGAGGGAGTGGCACCGGTTAATACGGGGGCCAGAAGAGAGCACTGCCCAGCACCCACGGCCCCTGGAACAAGTCGAGGGAGCCTGCGGATGCCAGCTTGTGAAACTGCCCAGAGACGTGAGCGCAGGAGTGGCAGGAAAATGGCCACCTCCGTAAGTCAGGCCTATGTGATGTGTCAAAAGATCATGGGCTTAGCCCAGGGGTGGGCAAAATACAGCCCGTGGGCCGGGTGCAGCCTGCCAACTGTTTGGATCGAGCCCGCGGGCAGGTGCCCACCAATTGATTGGATCCGGCTGTTGGCTGCCCCCTGCGGCACTCTGCATGGGGCCGAGCCCTTGTGTGCCTGCCAGCCCCAGCCCTGGGCCAGTGCACACAGGTTCGTGGCAGGGCTGCTCCTCTCGTGGCTGCAGTCACCCGGGTACTGCTCAACTCCCTCCAGCTCCTCCTCCTCCTCCTGTCCCTGCTGCGCGGCTTCATACAGGGGTGGTAGCTACAGCTGGGCAGCTGCTGCCCCAAGGAGCAGGACTCCAGTTCCAGCTCCTGGCTCCCTTCCACCCACTTGGCCCACCAGGAGCACTGAGCAGCCACTTGTGGGCAGCCAAGTGGGTAGAGTCGGAGCTGCCTGGCTACAGCTTCCCCCGCCCATCATACTTGGAGCAGCACAACAGAGGCAGGAGGAGCCACTGGAGGCAGGGGAGCCAAGCAGTACCTGGGTGGCTGCAGCTGCACTGGCAGCAGCACCACTGGGAAGCAGTGTGTGCTGGCTGGGGCCAGAGCCAGCAGGTGCAGGTGGGAACGTGGCACAGGCTGCCCCAGGCAGGGCTTGGCTTCATGTGAAGCAC